GACAACCGGCATTGTACAAAAGATTTATCATAATTTACTTAGGCAACATATATTCTTGTTTCTATGTTGCCTAAAGTAAAAATTATAAATTCAACCCAGTTTACTTAGGCAACATATATTCTTGTTTCTATGTTGTCTAAGGTAAAAATTATAAATTCAACCCAATTTACTTATAAACAAGTTGATGCTTCCAAGGTGACAACTGGCATTGTATGAAAGATTTATCATAATTTACTTAGGCAACATATATTCTTGTTTCTATGTTGCCTAAGGTAAAAATTATAAATTCAACCCAATTTACTTAGGCAACATATATTCTTGTTTCTATGTTGCTTAAGGTAAAAATTATAAATTCAACCCAATTTACTTAGGCAACATATATTCTTGTTTTTAGGTTGCCTAAGGTAAACAAATTGATGCTTCCAAGGTGACAACTGGCATTGTACAAAAGATTTATCATAATTTACTTAGGCAACATATATTCATGTTTCTATGTTGCCTAAGCTTAAAAGCATAATAACTCCTGGTAGGTGAACGTTTTAAGGGTGACAACTGGCATTGTACGATAAATCCATCACATTTACTTAGGGAACATATAATCTATTGTGCTTGTTGCTTTAGAGCTTTCTTAGGCAATATATATTCTTGTTTCTATGTTGCCTAAGATGAAAATCAGCTATATATATTTGTAGTTTCCCCATTTCCAATATCTAATCTTCATTTCCAATATTTTGTTTCTAAGGGCTTGGGACGTGATTTGGAGTATATTACCGAGTTTTGTCTTCCAACAAACGTTGTATTCATCATCAAAAGCCATATAAGATTATTAGGTAATTATTATTGTATTTTGTCTAATTTTATAGTTATTTCATGTAAATTTGGATTACTGCGTGTCTAAAAATATCTATAGCTCTTACTATATGCATGCATTTATTTTTCACATATAGATATGACAGAAAATGTGGACAAAAGTTGGATGAATTTAAAAAGATTCGAGAAAAAATACATTTTTGGAATATATGCATTTTTGGAATTTGCTAAAAAGAATTCAGTGAGTTGGAATGGTTATTATAAATGTCCCTGCATAGACTGTGGCAACATGTTATTTCAAAATGAGGTAGATATAATTTTCCATTTGAAAGATGTTGGTATAATGAAAAATTATACTGTGTGGGATCAACACGGTGAAGTTACAAATATACCTACTGTATCACAACAAAGGTTGAATATAATACGTGATCGAGCGTCTTCAAGTCAACGAGGTATGAGTAGCTTGGCGGTTAGACCTGCAAGGATGAGAGGACCGGCGAAGGGATTCTCTAAGCCAGTATCTGCAGTTGACGAGGAATATTTGCGGCAACAACTTGCCGAGCGTGACGAGGAGATTCGCTTGTTAAAAGAGGGACAACATGAGGCAAAAAAGGAAGCTGCCGAGCAAAGAAAGATGATACAATCATTGATGACTATGTTGGGTGCTAGTGATTCAAACTCTAACACAACAACCCTGACATCTCACGCTTTAGGTTAAGTTTTTAATTTTGTGTTATTGAACTTGTTGCCTACTTTTAGACTTATTTAGGAAAAAAAATTATCTTTCAATTATTGAACTTATTAATTTTGTTTGGTTATAAAAGTTGTTTGTATACAACATTTGGTTGTTTGTTTGCTTGTTTGAGATTCATTTGTAAAAAGTGTGAAAGAAAAAAATTGCATCATGGTACACAAAATTCTTAGGCAACAATTAAACAATATAAATGTTGCCTAAAAGAAATATTATATTATGTTAATTACAGTTCAAAGGCAACATATCTAAATAGAGTATGTTGTCTAAGTTGATATCTTAGGCAACATATTCAGATAGAGTATGTTGTCTAAGCTGATATCTAAGGCAACATATGAAGATAAAGTATGTTGTCTAAGCTGATATCTTAGGCAACATAGTCAGATAGAATATGTTGTCTAAACTGATATCTTAGGCAACATATTCAGATAGAGTATGTTGTCTAAGCTGGTATCTAAGGCAACATATGTTTTTTACTTAGGCAACATAACCTTTTGTGTGTTGCCTAAGAAGCCCGCTTAGGCAACATATTATGTTTGCATATGTTGCCTTGGTTCTTATGCAACATTGAGAAGGCAACACTGCTTAGGCAACACGGGTTTGTTGCCTAAGCCTTACGCACATATAAACTCCTCTTAGGCAACATTTTTCATTTGTTGCCTAAGTGACATTTTGAGGTAGTGTTGGACCATATCAACTTGATCATAAATCAAAGTATCCTTCATAAATTTGTGTTAATCTCATATGTAAGTTTCTGTTATCAAATACAATACTTAATAGTGATTATTCTACAATTAAATATGACACTGAACCCCTTATCCTTTATTTCTTGCTCTGCCCCTGGATGCATCAAGATGGGTCTAAATGAGTCATATAATCAGTTTGATTAGACTTTAATGAATCTAACTGAGGTATAACAGGTTATTGCGTCCTTAATTGGTCACAATGATGTAAACCGGCATTATGGTTGTAAATTTATCATAGTAAGTCTGAATAGCCCTTGAAGGGTCTAATTAAGGTATAATGGGTCATGGTGGTTTAAGTGAGTATATAGGTCTTATTTAAGACTAAATAGGTCATGATAGGTTCTAAATGGTTCATTTTGGTTTAAGTGGGTATAATAACTCTAAATTGTTCGTAAGAGATCTAATTGAGGTGTACACAAACACACACACATATATATATATATATATATATATATATTTAAATAAAGAGAGAGGCATATCCATTTGCTAAGAGTTAATCAGTACTAACTTTACTAACTCATCTGAGACGTTCATTTTTTACCAACAATTATAGTTAAACTGGAGGTTATAAATTGATGAAAAAAGAAATATATTAAATGGAATTAATGAAGGCCAACATTGGAACAAATTATGATTTATTTTTGGAATTAATCTTTTTTCCTTTATCCCTTGAATTAGGTTTTAATATTTATCTCTTAAATTCAATTATTTATCAAAGTTCATAGACGAAACTAGAAAGTGAAGGAAATAATTAAGGTAGTTTAAACAAAGTTCATAGATGAAATGATGGTTTTTGTTTTAAAGTTTATAAAATGTTGTTTCGTCTATGACTTTTGGTTGTTCCAAAATTATTACCAAAGTTCAAAGGCAAAACCAGAAAGTGATAAAAAAAGTTTAAACAAAGTTCATAGGTAAAATAAAAAAGGCCATAGGTGAAATGATAATTTTCGTTTAAAATTTCATAAGTGAAACAATGATTTTTTTTAAATTCATAAGTAAGACAATGATTATTGTTTAAAGTTCATTACGATTTTGTTTCTAAACGGGAAGTGAATGAGATAATTAAAGAATGTGATAATTAAGTGAATGAGATAATTAATAAATGTGATAATTAAGTGAATTCAAATAATTAACGAATGTGTTATCAATATATGAAAAAGGAAAATACCCGGTTAGCACTGTTTGTATTGATTAGGCGGTTAACAACATAACGTCTCTCTCTCTCTCTATACATACATACATACATACATACATACATACATTCATACATACATACAGGAGAAATCAAATGCAAACCACCCAATTTGTACAAACCGTTCAAACCATCCTCATCCGTCGATTTCATTGTTTAATCTTATGAAAAAATTTCATGAAATTGTTTAATTTTGTGAAATTGTTTCATATAATACTTTTTTTTTTGATGAAGTTGTTTCATATATGGTTATAAAATTGTTTCATACAATATTTAATGAAATTTTAATGAAGATGATAATATCCATGATTAACACCCTCTACAATAAAAATGATTAATCAACCTCTCATAGTTACAAAAAAAATGAACAAAATGAAAAATTATGATTGGTTGAATGAGGTTTGTACGGTTTGTACAAATAACGTGGTTTGCAAAGTAAACCTCTTATATATATATATATATATATAGAGGCCTAATCAAATGAGAACTAATTAGTTTGTGGTAACTGTGAGGTCCAATCTCTACCACAAATCAATAGATAAATTAGAAAATTTATAATTTTGGTAATCTTTAATTAAAATTTTAATGCAAGGACATTTTAGGTATTTTCTCTTCTCTCTCCTCTTTTCTCTCTCCGTCTCCCGGCCTCCGTCCTCCGGTGATACCACAGTGGTATCACAATGCATCTTATATGTGATTGGGTATCACACTGTGGTCATTTGTACAGTCGATCGGATATGTAACACAGTGGTATCACAATGCATCTTATATGTGCTTTGAGTATCACACTGTGGTATCACCGGAGGCCATAGCATTTAGACGGGGATGGAGAGAGAAGAGGGTAGAGAGGAGAGAAAATACCTAAAATGTCCTTGCATTAAAATTTTAATTAAAAATTACCAAAATTATAAATTTCCTAATTTATCTATTGATTTGTGGTTGAGATTGGATCTCACAGTTACCACAAACTAGTCAGTTCTTCCTTGAATGGACCCCTATATATATATATATATATATTGGTTATATTGTTATACATCATGTCATTATTTTTCACTGCCAACAAATTACTGATTTTTATCAAATATTGAATATTTATAGGTAGCCGAGTTGAAAGCAACGATTACTGAAATGGATGAATGCAATTAGATTGAGCTGGAGGTTGAACAGAAGAGTAAGGCAGATCTGGAGGAGCAATAGCTTTTACAAGTTGTCCAGTTAGCCGAGCAGAACTCGTTATCCAAGCATTTTGCTGCTTTTATATGAAAGCAAGGATACATTCCCCCTCCCGACCCTCCCACTAGTCAGATTGTTACCTAGCTAACTCCCAAACTTTAAATTGTATGAATTTGATATTTTAAATTGTATGAATTAATTATTTTTAATTTGTTAAACAGTTTCAATTTGTTACTTTCAATTTATAGGCAAGTTTTGTATACTATTATATAAGAAATACATAATTTAAATTTTCTTTTTTAAAAAAATTATTAAAATTAGTGAAGGATCAACAAGGATCAACAAGGGATATCGAACTGTACACACCCATGGCTTGATCTTTAGGAAACGGTATACCCTTGTGCTCCAAATTAGAGTGAACCCTGATCGGCGTCTCGTCGACCAAAAACCTGCATTATTTACGACAGGCGAAGGTCATTCAGTGTGCAATAAACGCTTGTACATTATGCATTAGAATTTGTAATAATCAAAAGTAAGATGAGATACTCGATGGATAATAAGTAAATTATTTACGTTGCMTGCTTTCTTTTTCAGACCCATCATTGCGAATTAAAGAAGGGAGAGTGAAATGAGTATCGAATTGTACAACATAAAGTAGTGTGGTGTGATTCCCGAGTGCTTTAAGGACTTGTACTGTTATGGAACTTACACAACTTGATGCTGATTCCAGAGGATGGAGTAGGAATGGAAGTCTTTGGTATGGTCGAACCAGAGGTTCAATCGTTGTACCCTGTTTCCGACGCCATTGACGTAAACATTGGTCTGGACGACGTAAGGTTYGCCGRTGGTGTTTCCGAGGAACTCGAAGTCGAACTCAYGGTGTTTGGGACCGYCGGATGACATSTGAACAGATTACGAACATGAACACCGTTTAGAAAATGAATCAAACACCGAACGAGCAAAACGATTTCATATTTAAATTCATCGGAATCAACTCACGTAAAATGCAGTTACAGTTCCGGCGGAATCACCTTCAACAAGCTTGATTTGAATGTTAACTTTTTTAAACATATACTTCGATTTGGACGAAAATCCATGCTGCAAGAGGGATGGGAACATCAGATACACCTCTAGATGATGATGCATGCTCGGCTCCACCATCCTCATCCTCACCAGTGCCATATACAGAACCAAGCAAAGACAGTGCTCCTGCTCCTGCCGCATCGAGAAGCGTTTGAATGGAGAGATGGAGTGTATTCGAGTATGGGAATCGATTTTTTAAATAGCCGCTTTGGGAATCGTAGCTTTGGGAGCGCGAAGTCTGAAAGAACCGAAGGGAGGGAGGCGTGTCTTGGGAATATTAAATTTTAAGAGTAGTGTTGTGGTATGTAATTATGTATTAAGAAGTTGTACTCGATTTTTTAAATCGCCGATTTGGGAATAGTAGCTTTGGGGAGCATGAAGTCTGAAAGAACCAAAGGGATGGAGGCTTAAAAGTAGTGTTGTCGTATGTATTAAGAAGTTGTACTCTATGCTTATTGTATTGTGATTAAGACTTTAAGATTTTAAAGGTAAAGGGGTATTTTGGGTATTTATAAATTTAAGACTTTGAGTAAAAATGCTTAATAAAGTAGTATGGATGAGAAACAATGTACGCTACGATAATTAGTAGTAACAATAAATCATTTATCCATATGTAGATGTGTACATAATTAATTTACACACATATAAATATATATATTTAGACTCTTTAACGACTAATAATATCCAATATGACACATCTTAGACCCAAATAATTCATTTATAAAATAAGAGACTTTAATAATTCACTTGAATGGTTGATCAAAATGTAGAATTGATGTTTTTCAATGAATCGCTAAATTAAAAATAAAGTTTTCGACGGAAATTAAAAATTGATAAAAATAATTATGGACAAATCGAATCCATCTAATTAACTGCTTTATTTTTATTAGATTCAAATTTAATTTAGATTCCCTCCAAATAATTATTTTGTTTTAGATTCAAATTTTTAAGGATTTTTTGAAATTTTCAACAACTTTTGGACGAAATCTCAAAAATTAATTATTAATTTCTTGAATAATTTTCGACGGAAACCATCGAGGGATTTCAAAATAAAAGAAAATCATATATTTTTTTTGAAAATCTTGAACAGACTTTCGATGAAGGCATATTTCATCAATTATCCGTCAAAAATACATCTAATTTTTTTGACGAAACACATGTTGCTTAAAATTCGTTTAAAATTCTAAAAAAGATGCATTGCTTTTTCTCAATAGTCTATCGAAAATTATATACAACTTTTTTCTTGAAAATTCCCGTTGAATATAGTCGGTATTCTAGTAGTGACCATTAGGTTTTTTTTCCGGTTTCAGTTAGTTTAGTAATTTATTTGTCCAGCCCCAGTAATTGCTAAAATTTATTTATTCAAGAAATGTGTCTAAAGACTATATTGTCAAAATAAGGAAGTCCATTGGATTTTTCTCATTGTGAAAATTGTATTAAAATGAAACCAGCTTTAGCCTGATTCCTATTTTGGGGAATCAACTTTCAAAGTTATCATTAGCTTTAGCAAACTTTTTACATTAAAGGGTCTCGATTACTTGATTATGATTACCTCCTAGTGATGACATGACCCAAATAATACCCAGCTGAATTTTACGTCTTACTTAAGATAAAATTCAGATAACTTTGAAATGATGACATGAAGGATATTTTAACCATTTTGCAACAATCTTAAATTTTAGTATAATTGTACAAGTATTTAAAGCTTCCGTACAAATATATAAAACAGATTTAAAGAAGGAAGGGCGGGGGTCTAAGGGGTTTAATAGCACAATACGATGTTTATAAGCGATGGATGGAGGTGGTGGCAGGACCATATTGTTGGTGGGTGTTGATATGGAGAGTTCCATTGGCGTTTACTGGAGATTGGAAAGGACCGGAGGAGGAGGTCTGTGCGGGAGGCGTCGCCGTGGAAGAACACTAGTACAAATATGGTCTTAAGTGACCGTTAAAAATCATCACCGTAGGCATATGTAATGGTTTTTGTGGACACAAAAATCGTCACCGTAGATGCCATCACTTTTGATACACTTTTGGTAACGTTTAAAAAACGTTATCAAATCACATAAAAAACCGTTACCATAGGCTAAAATCGTCATATTAAATATTTAAATGTACATAAAATTCGTTCCTTTTTCTTTCTAAAACTGTTACCATAGGCTAAAATCGTNAAATGTACATAAAATTCGTTCCTTTTTCTTTCTAAAACTGTTACCATAGGCTAAAATCGTCATATTAAATATTTAAATGTACATAAAATTCGTTCTTTTTTCATTCTAAAACCGTTACCGTAGTATAACATACGGTGACACTAATTTATTAAAATCGTTATCTTAGCATGACATATATTAACGTTTATATTAAAAAATTGTCACCCTAGCATGACATATCGTGACGTTTATTTTTTCAAAATTGTGACCATAGCAAGACATATAGTGTCGTTTATTTGTAAACACCGTTATCATAACATGATATACATTGACATTCATTATTTAAATCGTCACCATAGCATGACGTACAATGACATTCATTTTATGAAGTAGTCACTGTAACATGACATACGTTGACGTTTCTATTTAAAAGCCGTCATTGTAACATGACATATGGAGACGTTTACTTTTCAAAATCGTCACTATAGCATGACCTATGTTGACGTTTACATTCAAACACCGTCACTGTAGCTTGACATACATTGATGTTTATTTCTCAAAATCGTCACCGGAACACAACATACAATGATGTCTGTTATTTAAAACTGTCACAATAGCATGACATCCAGTGACATTTATTTTTTCGAACCATTACCGTAGTAGGGCGTATGATAACGTTTATTTTTTAAAATTGTTTCTGTAGTAGGACGTATAGTGACATTTATTTTTTAAAATCTCACTGTAGAGTGATGTAAATAACATTTATTATTCAAAACTGTCACCGTAGCATGATATATAGTAACATTTATTTTATACTATTGCCACTGTAATATGGCATACGATAACATTTATTTGCCAAATCCATGACCATAACATAAGATAATGTGTATTTTCCAAAAACCATCAATGAAACATGACAAAAGGTGATGTCTATTTCTTAAAACCATTATTGTAACGTGACATACAGTGATGTTTATTTATTGAAAAACATCACCATGACATGATGTATGGTGACATTTATTATTCAAAATGGTCACCGTATCATAACATATAGTGACGTTTATTTTTCGAAACCGTTGCCATATACTACCCTCTGCAAACGGTTTTGAAAATATCCGGCAAAAATAAAAGCTAAAAGAAGTTCAAAATGATTATCAATATAGAGACAACCATTAAAATAGTATTGATAATTATATGAATAATGTATCCAAAGTAAAATAGTAAAAATCAGTTGTGTCAAAAAGTTTCTTTCTAAGTATCTATAATAAGCTTATGCATCATCTAAATCAATGTTTTTCTTGTTAAACGTACTCCTCGTATGTTTGGCGTCTTTAACTGATTATTAGTTCTGTACTTCTTTTTTCCTCTTATTTTGATTCTCTTTATGCTCATCAAAAGTAGTATGCAGTACCTGCACGAAAACAAGAAATTCAACAAGCCAAAAATTTGAAAAATGAAAACAATCTGTAGAACAATCCCAACATAAATTATAAAATACAAACCTAATCCACATTTCAAACAAAAACATGAACTAATATTTATCGTGTTTAAAGAATTAATAACTCAATGTGGTATGCATTAAGACATGCATGCATGATTGTCCATTAAAACAAATGAAGCGCTAAATTAGTTAAGTAGCTAACCTTCGAGTCCGGGATAAGGTCTTTTGGCCAAGCGACAAAATTTGGATAAGCTTCTTCTACAGTCTTGTGCTTACCCGATTGGATAGGTAAAAATGCAGCTGGTTTTATTTTTCTGTCAATTGAGACTTTGTAGCAATCATTCCGAAGTGGAACTCTATGCACGCTCTGTTGTGAATATGAGTGGAAGATAGTCTTGTGTGCAACAATGTTTCTTAGATCTGGATGTGCCAGTCTGCATTTTATATTCTACAAAAATATATTCCTTGTGAAACGAAGTAAAGTTCAACACAAAAAAATTATAATTTGTTTACCAAACAAACCATTACGCCTTCATTTGTGAACCTTTGAGATGGCATAGTCGTAGAACTAGGAGCGTCCTTCCCAAATACAGGTATACAATTGATCTCTAAAGATTGTCGAGTTCTCTTTGACGATTTAGCAATAGTGTTATTCTGTATAAATCTAGCAAAGTGGTTGCTTGTTGCAAGAGTTTCGTGTGAAGTTGGGAGACCACTTGTCATAGAATTCTGAAAAGTGTTTATACAAATATTGTTAGACCCCATCACTCATATATGTAAAGTAATGAAAAATACAACAAGTGTGAAAGAGCAGAAGGCCGATGGAAGACTCTCAAGCAAAAAGTCTAAGTGCCAAATACAACCAGAGGTGCGATGAACGTTCATAGGTGCGATGACCTGCCCATCTCCATAACCCCTTTGGTTACCAACACTTGGAGTTTTCCATGACAGTTCAACCAGAGATACTCTATGAAGAAGATCACAAGACTCGGTTGAACACACCCTTTAGAAGACAGCTAGAGATGGCGAATCGACAGTTGGATTCTCCATTAGTTACGTTGCCTTATTTACTCTCCATAAGTCTAGATTGCTTTCCTTTCATAAGGGATTTGCTAAATATCTTCCATAGATAGCATTCTCCATAATTAGATTACTAGTATAAATAGGCTTTACTATTCTTGTAATCGTTAACGCTTTTTCCGCCAATCATTTGAATAAAAGTGAATCATTCGGCACTCAATATTATTCTTGAATATTCTCATTGTGTTCTTGAGTGTTCTTCACTTTTTCCATCTATACGATATATTTAGGTTATTCATAACCTGGATGAAGACCCAACTTAAGGACTGTGGATTCCAATATGAAAAGATTCCCATTCTCTATGACTCCAAGAGTGCCATAGCTATCTCTGCAAATCCTATGCAGCATTCCAAGACTAAGSACATCGATGTCAGGTACCATTTTCTCAAAGATCATGTAGAAAAGGGAACAATAGAGATATACTTTGTTCCTACAGAGATTCAACTTGCTGACATTTTCACAAGAGCACT